TGAGCACAAGGCTAGGAAAGGCTGTCCATCTGCCCTCAAAGAGGGACCATCTCTGGAAGCAGTTAATGTTTCAAAGCTTCCCCACATGACCAGAGCAGGATAGTCTCTCGCTGAGAGTCTATTTGTGCTTAGTTTTATCTTCAACACGTCCTGCTTCTCTTGCTCTCATTCTCCCGAGAGCACTGGTTCAGTAAATCACATAAACAAGAATTCCTATTTGGCTTCTTAATAGAGATCCCTGTGTAAGTCACAGGCATCATCTCCAGAACATCACGTCTTAATCTGAGGCCTAAAAATCCTCACAAATGTGATTTCAACATTAGCTCACAAAATTCAAAAATGAATCACAACACTCTAGAATAAATAAGAGACACTAGGAGGGAAACACAAGAATTTTATGAATTATAATTATTACATATAATATAGAATAGAAAAAGAGGAAATTGAGAACAAGAGAACGAAAATATCAAATACAAACAAATTAACAAAAAGGACAAATTTTTAGTGGCATATACTAAAACTAAATCTGTGGATTAAAAAGCAAATTAAACACAAGGAACACAGAATTAGTTTAGAAAAAGGGATCTGAATGACTATTCCAAAGAACAGCACAGGGAGACTTGAAAGTTGGAAAATATACAAACATATACCAGTAACCACACCAAAACTAGAAATTACATTTGACCCAGCAATTCACCTTTTAGATATTTCCCCCAAAAAGTTAAATTCATCATATTAAGGTGATGTATGCATATCCCTGTTTATAGCAACACAATTTATATAGCTAAATCTTGAAAATACCTAATACCCATCAACAGATGAATGAATAAAGAAAATGTATTCACACACAATGGAGTATTACTCTGCCATAAAGAAGGATAAAGAAGGATAAAGTTGAGTCATTCATAGATAAACTGATGCACTTTGAAACCATAATATTAAGAGAAATAAATCAAACACATAAGCTTAAATATTACGTAATTTCTCTTATATGATAAACCCAAATATAAATAAAGAACAAAAAAACATAGATAATAGGAAGTAAGGAGATCTTTTTTCAAATGGGAAGGGGAACAACAGATGGAGGAAGGAAGATAGGTAGGGAGGGAAAAAGGATAAAAACTGAATTGGAAAAAATGGAGACAGAGCTTTTGCAAATGAGAAGGGGTAAAAGATGGAAGGGGAAAGGAGGGAGGGGATGAAAAAAGAATTAAAATGTGTTTTGTGCATGTTCCAACTCCCCACAAAAAATGTAATCATTGTGTACTGCAAAAACGTACTAATAAAAATGTTTTCAAAACATATAGAACAGTGTGAGAAGGCAAGCATACACATAATACCTAGCCAGAGTTTTAGCTTTGTAGAGACAGTAGTAGAGGAGGTATATTTTTTTAAATGGTGCCTAAAATTATTCCAAAGTACATAAGAAACATCAAGCCATAAACTCGGGAAGTTAACTGAATGCTAAGTAATATAAAAGTAAAGAAATTCATGAATAGGCGTTTATCAAAGTTACATGGAGCAGGATGGCCTACATGTGAATCCTGCCTGCAACATTTACTAGATAAGTAACTTGAAATGAATTATTTAATTTTTCTTTGTCTTTGTTTCTGACCTGTAAAAGTGGCTATAAAATCATACCTGTATCGAGAGTGTTTTGAGTTGATATCTTTGATGTCCTTTGGGGCTATTAGGTTTCTAATTTTCATCTTTCTTACTCATTTCTTGAATGCTCACCAAGGTGTTTCGGATTTCCTATTTCTTATTAACTACCTCTCAATAAGTAGTAAGTAAATTAGTCTGCCTTGCCCTAACCCTTACCCCGATGGAATCCCACCAAATGCCCCACATAAATAGTCTACAAATGAGTGACAGAGGGCAACAGATGTTTCCATTTATTTACAAGAGAGAAATAGCCATTTCCCTGCCATCTTGAAAAGAGATAAGAAAGTCTTTTGCATCTTTGATACTACAGATCTTAGGTTCTCACTCGAACCCTTTAGAATGAAAATGTATCTTTCCAAGAGCCAGATACAGCTCAGGTGCAACCAAGGTCTTGGCTTTGTACCTAAGGAGATTCTGAAGCATCCAAATCTTTCTGGCACCTTAGGAGCTTAATCTCGAGACCTTATGTATCAGTAATCATTTACGTCTCTTGGAGAGATAAGAGGAATTTCATTATCCTTTTGAACCAAAGCAACTAACTGAAGAAATGACTCTGGATCTAATACTATGGTAAGTGAATGCTCAGCAGCAGAGGGCTTTTTACAGAAGCAGGGAAGTTTAAATTCCATAAGTGCCTGGTATGTAATAAAAATATTTAGGTGTTTGTTACATAAATAAAAATACAATTAAATTAATGAAATTATAAAGATGAGAGAAAATGTAAATGAAACTAAATGACACAAATGAAAGAATCAACAAAAGCAAAAGTTGGTCCTCTGAAAACTGAAAAGTAGGTTCTCAGAAAAATAAAATTGATCAACCCCTAGTGAGACTAATCAAAACAAGAAGAGATATTGCAAAAATGTACAATACTCAGACTGAAAGAGGAGGAATAACTACAGAAAGCAAGGATTGAGAAGACAAAAAGAAAATACCTTGAACATTTATTAGAGCTGTCATATAGGGAATTAGTTGGTATTATCCGGTAAAACTAAAGACATGCATGCTCTGTGACCCAGAAGTCTTGCTCATGAAAATGTTACCACAAGCAAACCTTGTACATATGCACCAGAAAGGAAGTACAAGAAAAAGTACGGAATCATTGGTCAGAATAGCAAGAAAATAGAATAACATGTCCATGTCCAAGAGAGTAAATATTAAATGTTTAGTGGCTTCATGTAACAAAATATGGATTAATTCTAAAAATTAATATATTATCATCACATGCTGTATATAAACTATAATGAATCTTGCAAACATATGGTTGTCAAAATACCAAATTGAAGAAAAATACAGTAAATAATAAACTTAAGAACAACCAAAAGTCAGCAAAATGCCTTTTCAAGATGTGTATCCATATTTATATGGTGAAATTATCAATATGGCAAAAGAATTATAACTGCAATAGTTAGAATAATGAGTATCCTGGGCAAGGAAGTGAATGAATAAAATCAGAAGGCAGACAGCCAGTTTCAAGAGTATTGGAAATGTTACACTTCTCGACTGGCTGCCGAACCCACTGGAGTACATTTAGTGAATATATCTGATGATATATATCTGACTATTTTATATGTAAAATATATCTAAACAAAACGGACATTTTACATGAAAAATATAAAAGTGGAAAAGAGAGAGAAAGAGAGAAAGAGAGAGAGAGAGAGGAAGAAAGAAAAAAGGGAGGGAGTGGAATGATGGAGGAAGGGAGAAATCTTTCATAAAATCTTCATCCAAAATATCAGTAGCACAGTAGAAATGGAACAGCAAAACAACCCAAAACTGGTTTGTAAAATTTACTGAATTTGGCAATTTATGTTTCCTGAGACAATATGTAATATATGTGTTCAGAAAGTACTTTCTTAGTAATTACTAAGATAATATACTAGTTTTGGATTTAGCATAGAATATAGCATAAGTTAATAATGCTATACAATATATACTGGGAGCAGTATTTATAAGTAATTTTCTTAGATCTCTCATCATTTGGCTTTGGAGAAGAGAAATCCTCCAAAATGTGCTGTGCCAGGCCGACAGTCTCACTTTTCATGTACCCTCTCACTTCTCTCAGTGTTTCCCTTACATTGGATCGGGAAGAGCCCTGGGGTGACTATCAGTGACAAAGGGGATGGGGTGTTCCTCTTGGGACGCTCAGTGGGGGACTGGCTCCAGCAGTCTGCCCCTCCTTGAGGTGATTGTTTAACACTACTTTGCTTTAGGTTGGGCTCTTGTTGCTGATTTTGGGGCTACAGAAAATTTCCTTCTCAACATTTCAATTTTACAGATAAAACTATTACAGTTCGGTGTGCTGTATTAAAGAAAACATATACAGTATGGGTCAAAAACAGAATTATAAAACATGAATGAACTCTTCACAAAATTCTATTTCACAAGATGTCTCTTTTTGGTTTTAAATACAAGGGGAAGAGATTTATTTTATAGGCATCATTACCTCACATCCCATCTTTCCTCCCCCTAATGTTAATGTTTCACGTAATGCTAATTAAATGCACATGTGTAACTAATTTAAGTACTGTAGGATTCAAAGCAGTCTTAATTCCCCCTTCACTCAAAAATAAAATATGAAAATAAGTTGTTGTTTGCTAGACTTCATAGTGGACTGAAAATTGAATTGTAAAACCAAATTTCACAGAAAAATCTAAATTGACTTCTCAGGTTATGAATACTTGATTGTGGTATAGAAATAGCCTAGAAATAGCCTCATTGAAATTTATTCAGAAAGAGCAGTTCTTCATTATACTGAGTCTAGTGCCCAGGAAAATGGACAGATAGGGCATAATTTTTGAGCTGTCAAGCTTAACACATGCATATAGAACAAATATTCTTACTCTATTCCATGCCAAAATTGAGTCTACCCAACACCATGCTATGGGTAATGTCCAAATGATTGTCAAAGAAGAATTCTGGCATCAACACGACACAGAAAAGGCATAGAAAGAAAAGTGACATATATTCTCTACCTATCATAAAGATACACATTATTAAAGATGCTTTCTTTATGAGGAGGATGGCAATCTGAAGCTCATCCTTATTGCATTTCAACTCAACATTTTAACATCCCCATCTTCAAAGGGGAGGAAAGGCGGTGTTAAATTTATACTCCAAACAATATTTGCAGAAATGGCAGTAATCCTGAAAATATCATGTTTCTCCTATCAAAGTCATCATAAGGATAACTCTGCATTTTTACTTGAAGAAAATTGCCAGGAGGGACCCATAACTAACAAAAGTTATCAGACCAGTGAAGACAGAACGTGACAGCCTGTGTTAAGGGGAGTCATCTTCCACTGATAAAAGAGAGATAAAACAGAAGAGCTTACCTTTATGATGGTTTGCACTGGATACAACTTTCCCCCACAAGGTTACAATAAATATTATTATTAGCAGTTTTCCCTTTATTGCTTTCTGTAAGTATCTCTTACTCATCCTGCAAAGAAAAAATAGTAACAATAAACATTCCAAGTATGTAAAATCATCATTCTTCCTTTGTAATTGTACTACCTTTAAGCATTCCACAACACTTTAACACATTTAACTTCTGAAAATTGTATACCTTGCATTTAAAATGCTGTTGCTGCGCATAAACTATGAACAGGGAATATACAGAATTTCTTCGATACACTCCAAGACATAAGCAAAGTCCTGCATTATTCAGTCTTCACCCACTTAATGCTAACGTAAGTGAATTGGGAAATATTACCATTCTTTATCTACATAAAAACTGACCTAACTTATTAGACAAATCTAAGAGAGTCAGTTGAATAGTTAAATAAATGATTTGTTGTTTTACTTTTTAACAGTTCTTACTTTCAAGCCAACTAAAATGATTAGAGCAAACAATTTAGATAAACATTTTTAGATGAATTCCTACGCAGAAAAGTCATTTTAAATCTGTTGTATGTAATAGTCTTTTAAAAGTCACCCCTCAACATAGCCTCCTTATTACAAATCGACATAAAATACTCTGCTCTTGGAGACACAATGTTGTTGGATTCTACCTTACTGTACTTTACTAGAAATTAGAGAAAAGTAAAAATTCAGAATGAAAAATACCAAATTAACATTTTCAAATTCATCCCATAAAACTCTGGAAAGCAAAGTAGTTGTAATAAAATAATAGTTATCCATAATAATACTTCACCTACTTTACACGTTATTTCTTTTGTTTTTCAGAATCAATTGGGGATATAGGTATGTCCATCCCCACTTTGTAGCTGATAAAACTTAAGAAATTTATTGAGATCACATTTAATGAAGAGTACAACTTCAAACCTAGAATTACATAATTCAAAAATCTACCAAAATCTATTGTCAAGGACAAAGCAAAGCAAAAATGAAATAGAATCCACATGCATTTGTTTATGAGATAATATACATGTTTTACCCAGTGCCTTTCAAATTCAGACTCTATATTGAACTCTATTTTTGCTTGAATTACAGATTCTTACTTTCCCTGGTTCTAATGCACCTCCCTCCAATGATTTACTGACATAGCTGGTTTCTTTGCTTGAATTCCCTAAGTTACACTTTCACTTCCAAACTATTCCATCTTCAAAATATGACCCAGTGGTGGTAGCAGTGTGCAATTTCAGATCTTTACATGAGTAACTGCATGAAATATAAATATCTTAATATTTTAATGAAAAAGTTGTGTGGATTAATTTACATGCTGATGAGACAGTATTGTAGGATGGAAAACTGGAGTCAAACTCTCTGTATTTGAGTCCATAAAACTGGCTTACTTTACACGATTTTCCCTTTTTTTCATTCTTTGCATCTCCCACTTCAGTTCTTGTGCATGTTTTCGGACTCTCCTGCTTCAGCTTCTGCATCATTATAACATGGGATGATGTATGTGAAATGCCTGACCCACTCATTGGCAGGTACTGAGGGGTTAGTGCTTGTATTAATGAATACTCATCATGAATAATCATGCTGATGTTTGGTACTTGTGTGCTTGAGAAGTCAGTCTCATTCATGACATGATCAAAGGGATTTTCAGTCGCACCAAAGGCTGCACACCTTCTACAGCCTTCATCTTGTGACATGCCAACGAGAATGTAAAAGGAGATAGTTAAGCTTTTAAATCAGATTGATTGGGTTTTATATCAAGCTTCCTCCTCAGTAGCTATGGGGATAAATAATGTAATATCTTAAAATATTTCATTGTTAGTAAAATAAGGATAATAATACTACCTGAATCACAGTGATGCTGGTATAAAGACCAAATAAATGAGTCCTTATAAAATTTGAAGCTATGCATAGCACACATATAATTGTTAACATTTACTGCGATCATTACTTAGACTAGCTTTTCCCTGACTGTGTTCTGTGAGGCACCAATCTCATGGAATGTTAATACAGTATTTATAAAAAACAAAGGGGTGAAATATATTTTTTAAATTCTGGGTTCAATAAATTTATTGTTGACACTGTTAAGTATGTCTTTTCAAAGATATTTTTTAGAAATCTCCACGGAGTAACTAACACAGGATACTAGCATCCTCAAGAAGCTCATAAATACTGAGCTCTAACAGCAATCTTGTTTAGTACTCTCTCAGTAAACCAAATGCCCATTTGAAATCTTCCATCCCACTGTCTTTGTTTCCTCTCAGCACTCTTACTATTAGTTTTGTTTTAAAATTCTCCTCTTTTTTCCACATTTTTCAACCATCCTGCCTCTCCTTCTGCATCCAGTCCCTCAACCTTATTGTACTCCACATCATATAATAGAATGAACAGCAAAACTCATCTGACAGGAAGAGCTGCTTAGCATAATTCTTGATAATAGCTTTCCCATAGTAAACCGCCTCTGCTACAAGGTCAATGACCCATCATTTTTTCCATTCCATTGTGAACCCACCAAATGGGATGACAGAACTGACAGCTGGTTAAACTGATAACTAGACATATGGATGTGAAAACACCCACAAAATTGCTGGGCTGTCGAAGTACAAAAAGGAAGGAGAATACAGGTCAACATTCAGAAGGCTGTAACAATGCTATTTTCTCCTTCTCATACCATTCCCACTCCTGTCCAGTCAATCCTTATGTTCTGACAATACTATCCTCTTAATATCGCTTACATATATACACATATATTCATCCCGACTTCAGTATTGCGAATCAACCACCCAAATTCTCCCTGGTCACAAAATTCTAATCAGAATTTGTGTCACATATATATTTCTCTGGACATATGGTCTCCTTTGGACCCAAGGGCAGAACCTGTATCTGCCTTTTTCAAAAGTATGTTTTCAGTATTTAGTACTTATGAAGTGCCTGATAAATATTGTTAATTGAATGTAATGTGTTATCTGTGCTATAGCCAAATAAGTAACTATAGTCATAACACACATGACTCTGTTCCATACTCAGAAAAAACACAACAGTTCTCAGCAGGGTATAAAAATCCCATAACAGGGAATTAAAAAAAAAAACTTTCCAGTCTCATTTATATTGCTAATCTTATTTTCATGTCATTTCTCCCCATCGCTTTATCCTCAGAGACTCATAATCTATATGTTAATTCTAATAAATTTTCTAATGCCTTCCAGATAAGTCTGACCTCCATGTCACCAGAAACTTATCATTCATTCATTCTCTACCCGCTCACTTTCCAAAATGGCTAACTTCTATTCATTGGTCATGGAACAGGTTAGTATTTCCCCTATAGGATTTCTTCAAGATGATACTGAGTGTCTTTCTTTATGCACAACAGCCATTTTCCATACTATATTATAATCCATTTATTTGTCACATGAGATTCCTAAGGATAGGGATAGTGCCCCACACATTTGTGAATGTATACGGGCTGATCCAAGGGCCAGCTAAATCACTGTAAAGAGGTATTTGTTGAATATTGGTGGTGTCTACAGCCAAATACATTGTATAGTTATCAACACAAGGAGGCATCAAGTGTCATCCTCTTAGTTTGAAATTAGGACAAACAGGGAGAAAATAAGAAAATGCAGGGTATAGAACAAAACTGGGCAAACATAAAGAAGAAAAAGGAAGAGTTTAATTTTGAATTTTTTCCAATTTATAAATAATTATCAAGTTGAACAAAATGTAATATAATGGAGAGGTCAATAATCTTTTGGTAAATGGGGCTAAAATATCAACAGGTGACAAAAGCTAAATAGTACATTTGCCTTGACTTTATAGGAGAATATAGGAGAAGTATTCTCTCACTCTATTTGCTAATTACAAAGTCTCTGTCTAAAATTTTCTACCACCATTTAGAATTGTCACAATACTCTGTGAAAACAATGAAATTTAAGTGAATTTTGCAACTGCAAAAACTGAGTGAAAAGATACTGAAAGCTAAAGGATAAATACACAGAGAAGATAAAACCTTAAAATTGCTCTTCAAGTAGCAGATTGCAAAGAACACAAGGGTAACTGGATAAATGAGAAATAGTAACCTTGGCTGTGAAGGATTCTGAACTGAAAAATTGTCAGAATAGAGCACTGATAATTAAATCTCCCAGACTTTCTCCCTTTCTTCCCTTCTGTGTACATGTTTCAGTTCTATTCCCTGAGACTTAGACTTCTGGATAATTTGAAACTTTCCTACTCCCTACAATGTGAAAAATATATTCAATTTTATACAAGAATGAATTTTAAAACAGTTATGCTATGAGAAAAATCATTTCTCCGCAAAAACAGAACATAATTTTAACTAACCTATGGAACAAAAAGAGGAAAGAAAACACGGAAGCAACATGACATACAAAGGAAATAAAATCAGGAGCCTGGAAGCCCATCACTTGACCTTTTCTTGAGCTTAAGACATTTTTTTTTACAACTAAATATCAGATGAGGCCACATATAAAAAAAGAATTTCTCTTCCTTGATCTAATATTCATTCCAACCTGGTACTAACTAATTGCAACGACATGAACTTTAATAAATAAACTGGCACAAAAACTGACCCTGGGAGGACTGCTTCTATTGATAAGCATGTGACCTTTCCCATAAGGACCAGAATTACTTCTACAAGATCAACATAAGAACATATATTACCCCACACACCTACCCATTGCTTAAAGGCCAGAATTTACTTACATACACATTGATATGACAATAAAATCTAAATTTTATGCTGAAGAAGACAGGCCCATCATCTCCCCTCTCGACCTCTCCGACTTAATCCATATCCCCGTTCCCTTCATTTCTTATACTTCAGCTACCTCAGCCTTCCCTCTGTCCCAGTGCCAGCTCATTCTAGACCTTGTTCTGAATGTTCACTCTGCCTTGAAGGCTCTCACTCCAGCCTTTGAACAGTGATCTGCTTTTGGTGATCACCTCCACAGACATCACCTCCTTACCATGCTGCTCGCCATGACCTACGTGACCACCTTCTCATTTATTACAACCTAAAATCATCCTAGTCACTCATTTATGCATTTGTTTACATGGTTA